AATTAAAAATTTATCAATTATTCCTGCCCGTACGTTTAAACTAAACTGGTGTTGATGTCTTGAATGCACAATAACATGTGGGTTTTCTTCATCCCAATTATGATTATTATGAAAATTGAATATACCATACCTGGTAAAACTAGCTTACTAGAGTTTGCTCTGTTTATAAAATTATATCTGATAAACGAAGACAGACAGGACATATATTTAAATGACTTTTTTTCATTATTTTTAGTACAAGTACAATCAGCTCCCGAAGTGGGTCCCACAAATTACGAAACACCCTGTATATATTGTCCACTACGCAGAGACTATCACAAACAGTTCCATTCGCACAGTTTATACAACTGTCGAAAACTCGGAGATCCGCGAAAACTTGGAATCGGTAGCTTTGAACTCGCGGAAACCTTCCGCGGGATCCTTGGCCCAGATATTCGGCACGTGATCAAACGCCTGGTCAGCGTTTGCACGTAATCGAGTAACCCCCGTTATAGGATAAGAAAACGATGACACACAGACAGACAGACAGACAGACAGACAGACAGACAACCAGTGGCGTGGATCGCGATAGCAAGATCTTGCCATTCGATTCCATTCAATTCGATTCACCGTGTCTTTGATACGCGACGCCTCGTATCAAGCATATCGAGTATCGTCTGAAATGATCGACATCGCCGCTTCACTGAAACCCTTCATCTCTTTCTTACTCCCCCTTTTTTTTTTGGAAAGTTTCCACGAAATTGCTAATTACTCGGACCTCGAATCGATCGCGGCTTATGCTTGAAATATCGTCGAAAAAATTTAATCGGTGGATCTTAAGAAATTACCAACGAGTGGAGGGCCCACCGATCAGAGAGAGGTAGTATCGATCGGCCACTTCTCGCCCGAACGTTTCCTCTCGGTTTACTTTTATTTCTTTAATTATCCGATGACGGTGAGTAATTATCGGGGGAAAGTGCACTCCGCTCTGAATAGCGGTGCCTGTTGATAATCCCCGCTGTTAGAGACCAGCCTCTGTGTACTAGCACGTCGCCTCATCGATCCTTTTCACTTCACGCTCGTGGTTCCATTCCCGGTGTGGACAAAACGATACAACTGGTTCGATACATCCTTGTCTCTTACAAACGTTTCGTTCAAATCAACCCTCAGTATACGTGTATTCCTCAAGTTCTACATTCGATCGATTAACCACTTGCGCTGGCAACTGATTGCGGACCATAACGAGCGACCCCCAATCGTATACAATAATTCGTCGCTTTCGTTTTAAACTCGTCGGTATGACAGAAATTATTGAGAAGTGGTAAATTTATTATTTATTTTCCCTCGGTTGTACTTAAATATACTTGAAAACTGAGAAAATATTGGGATTTTGGGACAAAAAATTCTTGACGTGCGTGGCACGTCATTCCAACGCAAGAAGTTAAACCACGTTAAATTATCATTTCCTAACTCAAATCTATATGTATATATGCTTCGCTGAATAAATAAACGATTGTATGTTTAACAATAACTGTGTATGAAACAAATATATAACATTAATCAAGAGTATTTACCGTGATCGGTGATCTCGAGAAACATTCGAGAAGATTCATAGACAGGTTATGTTACGAACCACTCTTATTGAACACTATTTTCCTGAAATGTACGAACGTGATAATAAATCGTCGATCGATTTTCTATACGTAACCAAAATTACGAATAATAATTTTAATAAAGTTTGCATTCGTACGTCGTTATGCGATTCCGTTTGCGAGAAAATTTCAATCGAACAGGACCGTTACGCGCGCGACGAAACAAACATGGCCGCCGACGGTTAACGATCAAATCGATCGTTATCGATATACCGCGATCAAGAGTCAAACTCAAGTTGTCATTGGTGTACATTTTAATCGAATGTTACTTTCAATAATATACTCTAAATATTAATTTAATTAATTGATTGATTAACCATGCTTTAGAGAAGATGCCGAAAATTTTCAGTTGCGCATAGCACACGTATATATATATATATATATACGCAGTGAGCGACTAACCTAAAACGTACTTAACCTAAAAACGAATCCGCGCGCGTTAAAGTCACGGGCAATGGCAATTAACAGTAGCGACGTTTTAATAGCGTTTCTATCATCGGCACGCGCGTTAACGATACGCCGATTGCCGAGCAAGCCGTGTTACGTCAAAGTCAAAACGTTGACAAACGTGCGCGTGCCCACCTGCAGCTCACGTCAACCGAATCGAGAAAACAGGCCTCGAAGGACAAGCGACGAGAGAGAGAGAGAGAGAGAGAGAACGAAATGAAAGATCACTATACGGGCCGTTTATTTCGAAAGTGGTATATCAGTCACTTTGTTTTCTAAATCGAGATATTTAATTCTTTTTCTTCGAGATCTTTAATAGTTTTTCTTTTTCTTTTTACAGAATTTCGAAGCCAAAATTGCAATAAAATAAATCACGGCGTTACAGTATTGAATTGCAATGACAAATACAATTGACAAGAATCGTAGCAAGGAAATTTTATTTATTCCCGTACGTAGAATAACCTGTTAATTATTCTTCTCCTTAATTATTCTCATGTCCAGAATCAACTAAATTCAGGCCTATTTGATAAATCATTAAACTCGATTTTCTCGAGAACAAAGACTTTCACGAAAGAATTTTATCGTTTCCTTCCGACACATTTTTACACGTAGAATCGCCCGCCAGTCAGCGAAAAACAACGAACCATGGAAATCCAAAATGTATCGACAATTCCTCCAGCTATTGAACGACAAGGTGACTTGTAAACGTCATCGTCACGTTATCACTCTGTGTGCTCTGCGTGCTCCCTGCTACATTTACGATCGAGTATCGTTTCAACTGTTTGCAAAGAATACCGTGGAATCGAGTATGATAACACTTTTTCCACCGGCGGATCGATGAAAAATTGAAAAGTCGTCGTAAAGCACAAGGTACGTACTCACAAGAACGACTCGACACTTTTATAAAACGTTCGTCGAGTTCGTCACAGAATTACAGTCAAATTCGACGGAATCGTTCGATGGACAGAAATTCGACGTCCAAAGGTCAACGCGAGAAACATCACAGTCCAGTCACTTTTAGTCACATGTTTGTACTTCGTCACGCGGTTTTATCGCGCGACAACTGGCGACTAATGTTTCTCCGACTGGACGAGCACCAGAGAAAGCATGAGAAAGAAATGCAGAAAATATCTACTGATTCACATGTGTAATTAGTTTCCACGCATTGGCTTGAGCTCGAGTTCGGTGATTTGCTTCAAAAATTCTTTTTCAATTCTCAGCCAGTTAGTCAGTAATTAGCTATTTGCCACAGCAACACCACGTCAGGTATGAAATTATGCGTAATTACGTAACTAATACGATTCTTAATGCGATGGAAGCAGCAGTTCGAGTCTTGGGGCTTGAAAATTTCCATTGACACGTTGTCTGCAGACAAAGAAACAAGGACAAAACACAGCAAGACATTACATTACTATACTACACAAATATTACTTTACTATAGTAAAGTACAGCGAAAGTGTAACAACATTTAATTATTTACGTTGTGTCTAAAATCTTTTGTCGATATTCGTTTTAATATGAATTGTTCTAAAATGATTTACAGAGGCAGAAGGTGATCATGTTATATCCTATCGAAAGAGAAGATACGTGTCTCAGAAGTTGCTACAGACCACATAATCTAAGCTCTACTACTTTACAAATCAATCATAAATTACGAGTACGAATATACTCTCCTGCATAACAGTAATGTAAATCTAATAATAGGAAGAGATTTCAAAAATCCGATTTTGATTATCTTCAACGGAAAATTACAAATTACAAATGCGTAAAAGTCCACAATCCAGAAGTTGTCACATTGTTATCTACTTGGCAAGTTGCGACGACGTATTTTCAATTAGTAAGCATCGAGACAAAAAACGCAAATCGGACTTGTGCCCTTAGGAGGTACTCAGATGCGATTCAACGAGGATTCAACTAGTAAACACTAGAGAAGTGGGCCCCGCGAATCGAGCTTTCCTCCTCGTCTCGTACACGCTTTCTTCTCAACCGAGCGTTGAAAGCATCGATACGAGCGCGAGATAAGAGAATGTACGAGACGATAACGATACGCGGGCGGTCGTATCGCGCAGCAGGCAAAAACAACAACCCGTTGGACTGATAAAAAGAAAAAAAAAAAAAAAAGAAAGAACGTCACTGTCAAAACGTAGTTCTTCCTGTCGATCGTCGAGACGAAGATCGGTTTTTTAAATCGCCAGCCAGACGATACGACGCTCCCGCACAGAGGGAAACTGTCAGGCGACGAGAGCTTCACACGCTGGTGAAAATGACAATGCTCGTTTTTTTTTCTGTTTCGTTTTGTTATTCGGATGGTGTACGTACCTCTGCGATTGAACGGTCGAACCCGAACGGCAACCTTTATTTTATCCGTAGCCATGATTTCGCACCGGTAACGCGCACTGTATATCCCGATCACACGGAACCGCTCGACGCTTTTGTGTACACAGATACGATATTCACACGATCATCATCATAGCGCTGCATCATTCTCAACCCATACCCGCGAGCGTTTCATCCTTTTCAAACGACACTACGTCTCACCGAGCTCGTGACACACTTCGCCATATTGCTTGTAGCTCGCCGTGCGCCAGACGACGGGTCGCCCTATCGAGTGAACGTGCTTCCGAGAACTGCCGCTAGGGACGCTCGCGAGCCGCGAGCCCCGCCGTGACGTCACGCGGCACATGCGCGCTATACGCCATCTGCCGATCGTCTATCGAACTAAACCCCGGGGCGAGCGATCGATCGACCGCCAGGTCACCCTTACGCGCCAATTTCAAACGTTGCTCCTTTCGCGTTGCCCCGCACAGTTTAGGAATGTTATTAAGAATAACTTTCCAAAAAATATATTGTACGTTGTATTGTATCACTGTATTGATTCCGTTGTCATAAATTATGTGTTAGAAATAATTCGGTAATAAATTTGAAATATGAAAAAATTGTGTGTTGTATTTCCTTAGGATTGAACTAGCGATGAAGATACATCGCTAATCTTTTATTGTTAATGCAATAATATACAACAAGACAGACATGTAGATATTACAGATAAAAAATACGACGACGATAAACTATGATTCTAACATTTACCAAATACAAATGAAATGAAGACTTGCAAGAATGAGCATGGTGCTGCCATCCATAGGAATCAATTAAAATCGAAAAAATGTAACAGAAATCAGCTAGATGCTGTCATCTATCGGATTTTTTCAGTTTGTCCTTTTAGTGTGTTCTCATAAATTGCACTTGAAATTTCAATCGAAATCATTCGTCAACATTCAGTGTATGCACAATAAATTTTATCATGTTCATAAAACTACGTTGATCAAACGCGTTCGCATAATTAGATATGTGTATCAAATCTGGAGGAATAGTGTAAATATTTTCTAACGATACAAAATTTCCCCTAGAGAAATTATACAGAGTGTCCCGAACTTAAATGACCAAATTGCGAGAACCTGAGTTGTGCACACAAAAAGAACAAAAAAATATTGTGTAGAGTTTGTCAGGAAACGTCTAGTTTACAAAGTTATAAAGAAATATCGCGTGTATGAAATAGGCAGCTACGCATTTTTCTTTATTATTGAATTTTTTTACTTATGAAATACTCTAAAACAAAAGATTGATTCAACAGAAGTAACTTCACACAGAGATCTAGCGTAAAGAATTAAAAACGTAATTTTATCGAAACTCAGCCAAATTCTCAGGAACAATTATAGTGTTGTTAATTCTATTATTCGCCGAAATTAATCTTAATGGAATTAAAAATTACTTTTTATCATATTATTATAATTAACGATACAAAATTGTTAGTGCATGAAAAAAGTGCCATTTTTCCATTATTTATATATTTCATGTATACAGTATTTGTTCGTAACTCTATAACAAAGCGTTTGATGCCAAATTTCATATAATATTTTTTCCTTCTATGTGTAGATTAAGTCCTTGCAATTTGGCCATTTAAGTTCGAGACACCTTGTATATAATTCACTAGTGATTTTAAACAGAATTTACTATTTGTAGACTATACAGCGTACACATACTATTGTATGTTTTTCTTTGATGATTTGGCGGTAAAACATTTATTTTCAGGTAACTGTTCACTGACTCGTGTATAGATAATTATTTATCAACGTAACAACATATTTGTGTCTCATATTACAGGTATTTTTGTTAATCTGAGGTGTCATCGATGATTATTAAACTTGCCAAAATAATAGATTGTTCTTCAGAACACCAGTCCTATCCTGCATCTAATCTTTTGCAACACCGTTCAAACTCCTCATGGCGTTGTGCAAAACCAGGAGAAATGCTTGCCACTGTCACTTTCGAATTGGCAGAACAATCTTGTATCACAGGTTTAGATATAGGCAATTACCGTAGTTGTGTAGTAATTGTTACTGCTTCTACAGCATCAAAACCTGATACCTGGGTTCCTATTGTAAATCACCAATTCTTAACGAACGATGAAGCTGCAAATAATAAATTTAGAGATCAAGTACAGATATTTACGAAGAAAGACCTGAATCCAGACACAGTAAAAATAAAATTTGACCGTGTGAAAGTGACCTGCATGCAGTCAGCCAATTTGAAAGAGTTATTTGGATTATCTTTCATTGAATTGAAAACAGAAGTTGTAGTTGATATGAAATTAAATATCTTTGGGAGATTCAAACTGAAAAATCCAGAAGAAGATGACAACATTGATGACTTTAAAGAAAAGAATATGAAGATAATTGGTCATAAAAAAACAGATTATAAGAATGAATTGCTCGCAAAAGTCAAAGAAACTAGTATGGATAACTTCTCCAAGCGACAAGAAGAGAATAGAGAACCAATGAAAAGACCATTACTACAAAAGTTAGAAGCTGGGAAAGCAGAAGAAGTATTTGGACCTAAGAACAAAGATTCTGATAATTCAGCTACAATGAATGGTATTAAATGTAAAAATGAGAAAGCGTCAAATGATAAACCAGTAGCAAGAACTCCATTTGGCGATATTGTACCTTCAACTTCACCCAAAGTAAATAAACCTAACACACAAAAAAATGATACATATTCGAGAAAACGTTCCTTAAGCCCTGAACAAAGTTCCTCAAAGCAGAATACAAGTAACAATAGTGAAGATTGTTCTCAATGTCAAGATGAAAACAAGATATGTAGTAATTGCAAAAAATTGCCAAAACCGAAGCCAACAGTTATACCTGAAAGACCTGCAAAAAAGCGAAAAAGATTATTTTCAAAGCTTTTTGAAGATATATCATTTTCACTCAGTGGCTATGTTAATCCACAGAGAGATGAAATTAGGAAAAAGGCTCTTCAAATGGGTGCAAAATACATTGCTGATCCTAACACAACTAACAAGAAATGTACTTATTTAATTTGTGCCTTTAAGAATACACCAAAGTATCAGCAATTAAAGGGACACTCTAAAATTGTTTCACATACCTTTATTGAAAATTGTTTTAATGAAAAGACAAGGTAAGATTATACAAAACTAAACTATATATATATATGTGTGTAAATAAACTATATAGTACATAATACTATAAATTTCCTCCTAGATTTCCTTGGAGACGATATGCCCTAGACAAAGAAGATACTACTGAGCCAGAAAGTGAAGAAGAAATTTTAGGTAGTTCATCTCCATTTAATGCATTCGAAGAGGATACTGATTTAGATTCTAATTGACGAGATGACTATTTTTTATTATTATTACAAAACAAGTGCTGGCGCAAAATTTACATAATAAAAATAAAATTTTTTAGTATATTATATTTTGTAGAAAATTTACTTAATATTAACACAGTACAATTTTCATAATGTTAACATATATTTTTGTTTATTATACATTCTTCGTTATTATTTAAGATTCAAGTAAATACATCGTAACTTGATGTTTTAACAAAGAAGATACGTATCTTGGATACCACGACACAAAAATTTAAATTTAGCAATATTTTCAAAGATTCATTTATTTGGCGGTAATAAATATTACCGCAAAATTTATGTTAATCGAAATCAAAATAATTATGTTTTGAATACGTGGAAATTTTTGACCGTATATATACGCCGAAAATTCAAAATGAAATACATATGACATAAATTATCGAAACATTACGCCGGTCCTGGAAAGTAAATGCCCAGTTGCGTAGAAGCACTAATGGCGTGAACTTGAAAAAACTTCAAAACTCGTCTGTCATTCGATCTCGAAATGGGTGATGCAAGCAATGTCTTCGGCTTTGAACTCGTGCAAGAAATATACAATAACCAGATCGCAAGAAAAGAGGACGTTTTAATATTGTTTGTTCATTGGTATCTGATAAAGCATGGATTCAGGTGCATTGGAATCGGCGATTCTGTAAGTAACAATGTTTTCGCGAAATATTGCGCAATCCCAATGTTTCATATCAACAATATCTTTAAATAATTTATTTACACAATTAAAAAGCGAAAGTTACTGAAAATTTTTAATACATAACCTGTAATAGTCATTTATTTCTATGCTATAGTAAATGATTTATAGTGCGTAAGTTTAGAAAAAAGTTTAGAAGTTTTGTAGAGAGATAGAATAGTAATACCAAAAATGTTTTCTCCTTTTTTTTGGTCAGAAAGCATTTGAGCCAACAGAAAAAGGATCACAATTACTTCCAGAAGAATGGAACACACGTCCAAATTACACATTACGTTATATAAACGACAGCAAATTGTTCATATTTCATGGTGTAAAATCTGATGAAGATTTACTTATAAACCTTTTGGTAATTTAGATTATATAACATACTATATATCATGAACTGATCTATATCATAGCAGAATAACGGATGTAAGTATTCTATTTTGCAGAGAGTTGACAATCAGGATGTATCCAGCATTCAGTTTCCAATTAATCAGACAGTAAATGAACTTCATGGAGCTTTAGAAGTTGTAATACCTTCATACCAAAATATTATAAATATAATTCAAAAAGATCTTGTAGAACCATTGCTTCCTAGCAATACCACGGAAAATTCTACTCAAACAAGATCTGTAAATGATCAACCAAGAGACAATCCATTAAGGGCTGATCCATTGAGGGTAGAGTCAAGACGTCCTCCGTCCTCATCATATCTGTGGTAATATTCGCATCGATTCATAAATAATATTTATATTCATGATTTTGGAAAAATTGTGTGATAAGGACTGACAGAGAGACAAAAAATAGAAGAATCGATGCGATTTTTTAATACATTTAAATTTATAAATAACATGTGAAACGTCTTTACAGAATTTTCGTAATTCCGACGATATAAATCTGGACGACTTTGCATCAATTTTTGAATTCTAAATCATTAACGTTTCATTTCACGAGCATGAAAACCCAATCCTCCTTCCGTTTGAAACGATCAGAATTAAAACTCTTACATCTTACAGTTCTGAGCCTGCAAACGTAATTGGTATATATTTTTATTCTCTCCATGACAAGCCTAAAATAATTGTATTCCCTTTGCAACACTAAAGGAGCTTCGTGTGATGCAAACTTTGTCACAAGAGCTATGTCATTAAGATGTTTACGTAAAATTTTAAAGGAATCCCGAAGCTGATCCTACAAGGATAGGAGCTGCAGATTTAAATCCATTGGGACGCGGTGGCGGTATGATTTTTGATCCGTTTTCTTCGCAACGTAATCGCGTGGATCCGATTAGACCTGGCTTAGGAGTTCCTGGTAGATTACCATCGTAAGTTGGCAGTAAAAGAATATAAAAATATTTTATTTTTATAAATTATTATTTTTATCTGTATTAAAATATTTACAGAGGCGCAGTTCCACCGTTTGCAAGATTCGATCCGTTTGGCCCACCAGACATTGATCGGCCAAGATCGCGTCATGATCCAGACAGTGATCACTTACCTCCCCCGGGATACGACGATATGTTTATGTAAAACAAGAGAACAAAACTTTACAAATAAAAAAAATATATCGGACTTACGGCGTAGTTTTGTACTGTGTTAGTACTATAGTCACGAGATATTTATAATTTTGTAAAAAAAAAAGAAAAAGATAGAAAATAACAAAGCTATTTGAAATAAATGATTCCACTTGTTTGCAAAAGAAAAATTGCAATGAAACATTTTATTTTGGCAACGCATCAGACATATAAGTGATACATCACAAACCACTTCTTCACGAAACGACTTCCATTCTTTTTTATTTCATTACTGATGTTTTACAATATAACAAAATTCCTCGTTCAATTTAATCCAATGTCATTAATACAGCAGTAGATAGGAAATTACATTAACAAATCAAATATACATAATAATTTTCGTTTAAATTGCGCTAACTCGTTAAATTTATTTCTTTTCTTTTCATTTTTGCATAATCGATTCGAAAGGAGTGACTGTTCTTAGTTTACGTCGGTTCAAAATAGAGGATTTCTTTGCTACCTAAGTTGTTCTTGTTCTTAATATTCATATGAATTGAAACATTATACTCTTTTCTTTTTTTTTCTTTTTTAACTTTTATTTCACTTAACGTACGAAACGATTTTTTCACAATCGCCGTTTTATAAAATAACAGCGATTAAATGAAATACCTCGTGCTTTTTTATGGATCACCTTTCGTCCTCTGAACGAAATAAAATTTTATACAGCGTTTCGATTCAATTCTTCGAGAATAAAAAGTTTTCTTCCTTTCCTCGTTTAACACGCGGTGAGTATGCAAAATAGTAAATATTCAGATCAAAATATATTTCTAAATACAATTTTAAATAAGATCTACAAATGCCCATTAATTGTTCGATTTTAAAATATGCGGGCCGCGGTTCTCGTTAACCTTGATCTTTCACTATTTATTTTTTCCATAGGTAGCGCGTTTTCAATAAGCCCAATTAATTCCATCTAGTTTTCGATCCTTTTCTCCACAAAAAATGTATCACAGATAAAATATGTCCACTCATAATATACTCATAATTACTTCAGACAGGTGAAGTATAATCGCTTGAAGAAGTGAATCGACGTGCAAAATTAAATTCCACATGATAAAAATTCGTTGGTAACTTTCTCAATGAATTGCTAGATATACCTAATTAAAGTATTAATGTTTTACTAAAACGAGAGAGAGAGAAAAAAAAAAGAAGGAAAAGAAGAGAAAACAAAATTTGTTTCGCCGATCGTGATTAATTGTTTAACGATAACCTAAGGAAAAAGAGAAAAGAAAAATCGAACAATTAGAGAATTGTTCAATTTCGAATCTAAGGCTTGATAATTCTTCTTTATTTTTACGAATGTCCCTCGTCCCATCCTCTGGTAAAAAATATTGCAGTTTTTTAACATTACAAAAAAGGAGCTGTACCAGGTTCAAATTTCATTTCGAGTCTGCGATTATGGTGAATGTACAACGGTTGTACATGGTACTTACTTAAAAATTATGCACATAAAGGAATATGTTATATTATTGGCGTGTCGTGCAATTAAATTCATCTCATTTTGTCAATAGTTTCGTAGAAAAACGTCATTCAGAATTCTTACATACGCTAATCATCAAAAATAGGGAGGGAGAAAAAAAAAATACAGACGACTACGACTACCTCATCACATCACTCTTGTACACAACTTTCGCTATAAGTACGAGAAACGATTATAAACACAATATTCACGTATCATAATATATACAGGAACGTACATTCACGTTAAATCGGCAGACGCATGAAATGATATAAATATTACATTCATTAGTTTAGGAGCGAATTCTTTTTTTCTATCTTTTGAACACAGTTTAGTGTGGCGTACAGCATCACCGACAATTTTACCAAAATTGCGATTACGATTACAATATATGCTTCACACAAAACGCGTATGCAGCCTTTTTAAAATTTATCGAATAAAAGTGGATGTTTTTTTTTTTAAATTTTGGTGAAATTGTCGTTAAGCTACGATAAAAGTGATATATAACTCTGGAGCGATTTCTTGTTTCCTCACTTTGTTTCGCAATATTCGTTATTTCAAGTTAACGCAGATTCCAAGTCCAGTAAGAGTTAAGAACACTCATCAATTCGGCATGCCATTGGAAATGCAACGCAACGTTCCTTTCGTTTAAGAGGTATACTTTAAACATTCACTGGTTTCAAAAGAGTTTCTAAATTTTCGTGTGTAAATAATTTTCTCTCGTATAAATTTCCCTTCGAAATTTTTTAATTTTAAAATGTGATAAATATATGAAAATGTATATTGCAATTACTGTCAATAATGTATATCAAATTTGATAGGGTACATAATAGAAAACATAAAATTTAAAGAATATTTGCAATACAGCGTACATTCATTGAATGATTATTTTTATAAATCCAACTAAATATACCAATTAATATATCGTTCCGTTTTTTCCTTTTTTCTTTTTTTTTCTTTTATTTTTTTGTAGTACAGATAACATCCATGAACCACATTTTGTTGAGAAAATGCATATTTTTAGTATATTCCAATAGTACAAAAATTTTGTTTTATTTTTTCTTGTTTATGTTATACGCAAAACATCTGCAGAAAATATGTATTTAATAATAATCTAAAAGTAAGTATGTCGAATTGCTTAAAAGCTGTTGTTAATTGGACGTTCATCATTTCTTGCATTTAATTATTATGGAAAAGGTGAGTTAGTTTTTTATTGCACTAATTTTCTAAATAGCTAAATTTTATGACGACTGAATAGCAAAGGAACCATTTTTTTTTACTAGAAATTTTTACTAATTCATATAGGTGATTGCTCCAACCATGCTTAAAATATCTTGCACAAGTAACATATTAACTAATGTTCATAAATTAATTAGTAATATTAGACGTCTTATTTCATTGGACCAAGTAAATGCAGCCTTCTAGAATACTTGTACACGATAATTTTAAAATAAGGTACTAAGTATTATTATGAAACGCATAAGCTGATCTGATTTCTTTTTCTTTCTTTATTTATTACATAAAAACGATCAGATCCATTCGAATTTTATTACTATTCGTATCACGTTCAGAAGACATTTCCTATTCTGTAGCATTTAATATTAATTTAGTATCAAAAATAAATATAAACATTTCGTAAAAGAAGAGTGCAAATAATCATATGCAATTTACTTTGCTTTTAAATTGCTTCATTTATGCTGGAGGATCAAATGGTGCAAAATATACGTATTATTATTAAACTGTTTCACAAGTGGTATGGTTGCATTTCCATTGATAGGCCTTTCAGAACAGAGTCGATACGGTATGTCTCTTGTTATCAGGCGCGAAAACCTATACAATTAGGTATACCAATCAGTATGAATTAGTAACTTCTCAAAGAAATCGTTTAATCTATTGGACGCAGCAGGAGTTTTTTTGTCCATTTTTGAGCTTCAATCGAGATTTGGGACGATATTTTTCAAGATAGGCCAGCTGCTTTGAATTAATAGCACCTCGCCTTTTGCTGAAAAAATAAACATCACTTTTTTAGTTACCTCGTACGTGATATATATATAAAGATCAAGTAAATTTAAACATATACTTACTCCCTAATTAATGTGACCGCATCTTCATACTTTAGCCCCAGCTCAATAAGAGCAAGTGCAACTAAGACCGGCGCTCTACCAAGCCCTGCGACACAGTGTACGGCCACGCATGCATCAGGAGATTCGCGGAACCGATTTTTTAATAGTTCGAACCATTCGTCGATAACCTTCAAAAAAAGTTCAATTAGAATCAAATGAATTTTATCGGGTAGTTTCCTTTAGAATGCCATTAAGACAATAATATTTACTTCGTTTGGTGGAAATGTTCCATCATCAAATACCAAATCTATGACATTGATCCCTTCTGCTTTAAGTTCCTCTACTTTGTACGTTGGTTCACAGACCCTCACTACTTCTTTAACATTGTGCTTCTTCAGTTCCTATTGAGACGACATAATATTTATACTGAATTCATTCTGTAAAATTTACTAATATCCATTTATAAACAACGGCAAAGAACTTACTTGAATAAAAGTGTGAATGGTCTGATCATTGGGCCGATCAGTAATAAGGAACTTCATATTTTTGTATTCAATCTCGGCGGGTTCCGGTCTGATGTCCTTCACCCTCATGTTGCTCATTTCCTTTTTGGACAACAAGTGGTGTAAAACTCCTACTATTTTTATGTTTTTGACGATTTTGTACGACACTGTTTCTCTTTATTTTTGCAATGTGCCACACTATACAACTTCAGCAACAAAAGCTGAATTTGAGAACTTAGCCCATAGATGTCAGTCTTATAAAGTTGTTTTTCATTTAACTAATTGAATACTTTGTTATTTTTTTACAGAGGACAGAACAATGGGTTCACATGTAGACCTCGAGGAGGGTTGTGAAGGTGCAAATTTCCTTGAAAGGGTGAGGACTACGTTACATTAGGCGTTGTTGATATGCGATCGATTCCCACTTGGGATCCTTGACTATGATTCGGAAGATTAGCTGAAAAAAAAGTCAACTGTGACAACTCCCGGACAATCCGACTCTCATACAACAAGAATTATCGACATTGGTACTTACCTATTTGGCACTGGGTGCGCCTAAATCAGGTGCGCTCAGTAACTACAATGCTTGTATTTAATATTGTAAATTAACAATTGATTCTATTTAATTCTATATTTCGTGATGACTAGCTGATGATTTTCTGACTTCAAGGCGGATGATCCCAATATCAAAAAATTTTTTTCTTTGCCTGATTGAGATGTTCCTTTCTTTTTTTCTTTCTTCTTCAATAGTGCCTAGCAGGTTCTAGGATATTTGGGCGTATCTCTCTATTTGTGTTGAGCCTGGCAGTACTCTGCACTATCCAGCTGAAACTCCATGTATGTGAGGATGCACTCACCAGGAAACTGTAACATAAACGTAAAGATTCAATGAATGTTTATCTTACAAGGTTTCATAAATTTACGCGTGTTGATTTCTTTTCTTTTCTTTTCTTTTCTGAATTCTGAATTTTGAACTCTCTCATCTCGAAGAGCCGTTGCTTTTCAGAGAACAATATCTTGCTCCGCGTAAGAATATAGGTTAAGTTTGCAAGATGGTGTATTGCATTCTACATCCTTCAGAAGTGTGACGATGAATTTCCGCAAACGTAACGAAGACTGTATTTCAAAATCTCTATTTCAGATATTTTCGTTTCACTCGCAACAAGGAAAATGATCGCGGATCGTGAAACGTTCGACACGTGCCAAATGTTGCGCCAAATTTTCGCAAGTATCCGCGCGCGCGATAAACATGCTCGTAGAATATTTCTCACCCAGAGTATTTGAAACAATCGCGGTGACAATTCGCTACAATAATTCATTACGGACGGGCAACCACTGAGATTCCTAACGCGGAGAAGACGTTCGCTCGACGACGCAAATTCCAGACGACGTGCGTTGTCATAATGACATTAGTCGATCTCTCGAAGCTCGAGCAAAATCGATTGGAGGACACGATACACCGCGTGACGTTGTATCAACGTTTCGACATTTCCGTCAACTTTCGTTAGATCGTTAAATACGAAATGAAGAAAGAAAATGAAACAAGTACGAGAAATAAATGTTGAAAAGTTCGCGTGGCTCTTACAATTAATCAATAATGACTTTCATACAACTTTGAACTTTCATAATGTCATTCAACAATGACGCAAGAATTGCAAAGTTCAGTATTGGATGCAATTGAGAAATTGGAAGAAGAACGAAGTATAAAAATTTATATTTTTATTCGATTGTACTTATATTACATTACGTTATATTATATTTAATTTTTATAATTACTTCGTATCTCTATTGAGTAACACTTTTATTATTAAATTTATATTTCGTTTTTATTATATACATACATATGAATCGTGCTGCGTAAATCGTACAATTTAACTATAAATATAAAAAAGAAACAGGAGCATTAGAAGAGGAAAGCAAAGCGAATGCCGTCGTCGGGGAACGTCTTTTAAATTTATCGGTGGCGCTAGCTGCACGTGGTATGTACGTATTCAAACGTGGTTTCAACTACCGCCGAAAAAAAGGAGAATTTCCCCCTTTATCTTTTTTGGCACGAACGTTTCGCGCGAATGCCAAGCGAAACAGACAGATGAGATTTGAGGAAGTACTGCTCCGTCATTTTATGTATCTGGTTTTAGGAGTACGCGATGCGTCGATGTGTCGATCTCAAATAGAAAGGTCGGACATTCCGTGAAGTGGACACCTACGTTACCAACCGAGAAATTGGGCGTGAAATGTAATTCGATTTAAATACGCAGCTGAAACGACGATATCGCGAAATGCAGTTTCCAGGTGCTTCAGCTTTAATAACCTTCAATTAAAATTTCGTTTAATTTACATACGGACGCGCGCGTGCACGAGATGGCAGCTGATTAAGTACGAACATTCAACTAATTGAAAACCACGATTAACTTTTTTTTTTTTTTTTGTAAAGTAAAATATTTGCCTTTGCTAACCTTTTCGCCGCAGTTACTTTTCATCAAGCGCCGGACGTGTTGGTGAGTGAAACGTCAAAATCACGATGAAATATATCGACACAATCCAGTTTCTCCGTCACGACAACTTGATACTTTAAACAACAACCTTGTATACTTAACAATTTGGTAACTGATTGGTAATCCGATTGGCGAGAATCGAGGACCCTTTTTTTTCCACAACGGCAAACGAAACTGTCTGCCGGCCGATGATACCGCGCGATTAAAGCAAGCTTCGACTGACAGTCGCCTCTTTACGGGCCGCTTGTAAATTTGAAACGCACATCGAGCAAATATAGGCGCCGATACAACATCGGGGGGGAGACACGGCGAGTGGCGCAGCCTCGTTTCCGACAGGACGTCGAGACGATTTACGAAATCACTTTTTACGTAACGAAAGTCTTCCGAAGCAGAAGATAGCCGGGGGGACAGGTGATGACGGATAGGGGGAAAAGTGAGAGCGCGCTCGGATCGACGTACCGGAATAACTAAAATAATTGGCAGCCAGCGTGTACGAATAGCCACCGGCGCGCGTCTCCACGCGCGTTTGCACTGCCACTCGCTTCAAGGTCGCCGATTATTCAATCTAGCATACAACAGGTCCCTTTCAACATTCTCGATTGATAATGAGAGGGCAACGGTCGTTGCGTCAACCCCTATCGCGCGAGTGGGATCAATTTGTGGATCTCTACACGGGTTGGCTCGACTGGAACACGTCATTGCACAGGTTGGAATCTCTTCGATATTTCAGTAATGGTAATGGTAATGGTATCGAAAAAAAAGAGACGATCCTCTTTGCCACTGTAACACAGTTATTTCATACAATTTTATCTACTTTCTTTTATTGTTAGTTTTATTATATATTCCAAAAGGTGACACGATTATCATTTAACGAGATACGTATTGTGTCCTATTTATTTTGAAAGTGGCCTAAGTCCATTTTCCAAAAAAAAAAAGATCAAGCTAGCTGTTTTAATATTTTACATTCGTACGTTGTCTTTTCATTTTTAAACAAATTGGAACTAACAATGTTTAAAGTCACTGAGATTTTGTGAAACACAGAAAATTGGCTGGTTAATGGAATGATAAAAATTGTTATTTTTAGAAAGTGGCTTTTAAAAATCTTAAACTGACATGAAGTAGTAAAGACATTGCGGTAAAATTTTATGAGACAAAAGCTATATTTTTTATTATTAAAGTAGAAATGTTCGATTCGCTCAGACAGTGATTTTTCTTTAAAATAATAATAATTCCATTAAATATAGAGGATTTTATTTTAACCAAACCTTCTAAAAACCTCGCAGTTTAGGTTAGGTTTAAACCTAACCCAAACCTACCCTAAAAAAATTTGGTAAGTGTCGCCAAAGGACAAGTGCCTTACCAATTTATATGTGTTCCATCCTTGTCTAGGGGAGTGTTAAACGTCTCTCCTTTCATACTACACAACCCAAACATAACCCAAACCTCGCGGTTTTTAGAAGGTTAAAAAATACTAATGGAGGTTAAAGATATGTTGGATGCGACTTTTGAGAAATAAAATGTTTCATAAAACGTCAATGAATTAGAGGAAGCCAAGAAACTTTAATAATATTGAACTGTACAAAAATGCAACACTAAAATACCATATAATGGACTTGTTACACTATACCACAGATACACCATAATTACTTTCTATCTTATATTCTATACTAAATCTGCACGTGCAAATTGGGGAAGAATTATAAATTATGAGGTACTATTACAATTAGGAATATAACATTCCTTTAATAGCGAATAAAAGTTGGATATCTTTTAATTTTATAACATATAATAACATGTATCTTTTAATGTTAATGCAATATATCATGTAATAACATGTATCTTTTGACGTTAATGCAATATATCATGTAATAACATGTATCTTTTGACGTTAATGCAATATATCATGTAATAACATGTATCTTTTGACGTTAATGCAATATATCATGTAATAACATGTATCTTTTGACGTTAATGCAATATATCATGTAATAACATGTATCTTTTGACGTTAATGCAATATATCATGTAATAACATGTATCTTTTGACGTTAATGCAATATATCATATAATAACATGTATCTTTTGACGTTAATGCAATGTATCATATAATAACATCTATCTTTTAACGTTAATGCAATATATCATATATCATATAACAACATATATCTCTTAATGTTACACAAAATTGTAACACTTTAAGGGAATTTTATTTTTTTCTTCAAGGAACCTTTGTGCCTTTTTTTAAAAATTGAAAAAGTCATTCCACTAATTTTGAAAGTGTATCAAGTCCATTATTAGAGCCATCGAAAACTTGCTATTTTCTAAACAATGTTTATCGTTACTAATTACACACTCTTGGAAGCACAAAGACATTACACGTTAGTCGAGTGACAATATTTTTCAAAAATTTATCCTAAAAGATTTATTGAAGGCAAGACGGACTCGTGCCACCATTCAAAATAAAACGGCTCGGGCAGAAATTCCACGACGGCGAGTTAAATGGGAAACGAGAGAGGTGAAATTGAAGAGATAAAATGAACGGTGTCAATGAATGAGACACGTACAGAGAAGTTGGCTACGTGTGCGCGGTGTTTTACCGTTAGCACCTTCGGCGGGAAAAAAAAGATTCACTGAAATCAACCTAGAAACCTACATCGGCGCACACGGGGGGATACATTGGCCCTAGTGAAAACGAATACGAACGCTGCCTCTCCTCGTTTTACACTCGTGCATCGCAATTCGAGACAAGTGAAACCTCGCCGCCGCCGTGCTTCTTTTTTTTTTTTTTTTTGTTTCTTGTCACATTTTATTGTACAGCTCCCGATCCCGGAACTAAATCTCTCGCGAGATCTCACGAATTCCTCCATTGACTCTCTAACTGTGTAGCTAACTAAACTTAACTTTAAAAGCGCGCTCAATCGAGAGATTATTTATTAGTCACATTTTGCTACGAATTCTCGGTTTGTCACATTTATTACCACAATTAACTATGTTAACAGCGATACAGACAATGAACACTAGACACAGCGAACGTGTTGACATTCGGATCTTTAATTTCGAAATGTGTGCGAGAAGTAAAATATCTTTATTACTTTCAGATCACGAAGATATACCGACGTTAAACCGATCGTGAGTCATTTTTATTGTGTCAAAGTGCGAGTTTCTACTTTTTTCATTTTTACCGAGTAAAAAGACAATTTTTCTATTGCATTTTTATTAAAAAAATGAAACACATCGTTGTAGGTTCGCTTTGGAATTACAGGGGGTTAACGCACCATTCTTGAAAGTACGAGATATTTTTTCCCGCGTTTTATCAACAGTTGTGAATCCAATAGAAATCGATGAACGATAAGAACTTCCGTTTCGGAG